CTCGTTGCCTGCTGGTATGGCTTTCCTGGCATCAATCATGGATAACGACCTCGACGACATCCAGTGGTCCTGTGGTCGAATTGGAGAAGTCGGACACGCAGCACCGAACGCCGCTAGCATAGTTCCTTTCACATTTTGCCACGCTTCATCCACATGCTCACTGCCACCACAGTATTGTTTTACTGTGGAGAGTTGTTGGGTTAGCTCAGATCGATACTGTTGAGCTATAGCAGTTCTTCGAAGATAGTGGATTGGCATGCTTCTTGCCGACTTGCAATGGCCTGTAAACGCAACAAGTGCCTATCTCCAGAATCTCTCTCTTGAGGTAGAAGAACTACTGTCAAACTCGCTGTTGCTCGCATCCTCCTCAAAAGGGTTAAACCGGAACGAAAGGATGTCGCGGTCAACATGGTCCTCTGGTTTATCACTGTTCACAAAACTGATCAATATGGTAGGGTGGCATTTTGAGTAAGTGTTGAGTAACTATCTTGATACCTCATAGCTGAAGACCGAAGATGAATGAGACATGGTCAGGGATACGATTCGCAGCCAGTATCTTAGTGGTTGGCGTATGGGCAAGGTGAATCCCTTACTACACACTCTACGTTTGTACCGTATGTTTTGTGACTGCTTCAGGCCAATTGGGTGCAATCTAATTCGAGTGCATTGTAGCCTGATACCTTGTCGTGTGGCTCAGGTTAGCTGAGCCAAAAGCTCATACCTGGTTAACTAGCTGCCAGAATGAAGAACCTGAAATTGGACCTGACAGCTATGGACGAATTTTACAGTCATGTTCTGTCCGTTGAACTCAATAGAGGTCACAAGTCATCAAGGAGTTATACCTGTTAATACTTGGCAAAATGCGCCGAAAAATAGGACGACTGAGCCCATGCTTTTAGGCTTGATAGGCCTCATCCGCAGGCAAGCGTCAACATTCTGAGTGTCGTTTGCTTGTGATTGATTATTAACACCATGGAAACTGCTGATACCAGACGAGTAACCAAAGAAAAAATCGTTCAGCTGTAACGTCCTTACGGTGCCTAGCTGCCATGTCATCCAAAGGAAGCACGAGAGCTGGGGTACTGCCAGGTTGCCCAAGCCAAGACAGGGGAATTCGGGAGGCAGAGGTCGGGTTCGAACCACGGACCTTCTGGACAGTAAATTCGCACTCTAACCACTTGGTCCATCTCGCCCCCAACCAAAGGATTCACGAAATTCTAAAAAACTAATCACTCAACTTCACGGTGTGACTATTCCGATACTATTGTTTAAACGCACAAAAAACATGGATGCACAAATTTGCACTGGTCTTTCGAAGTTCCAAAAATTCATTGTGAAGACCGGCACAAGATTCGTACTAATCGACTTGGTTGGACTTGATTCACAGCTAGAAGTTTAAAACAACAACCCCACACCCATATCATACTAGGACAACCATATTCAATGGATGCGATTCCCGGTGACAAAATTACCTTAAATTTCGTCTTGTTCAATCCCGGATTGTTCCGTTTGATATGGATAAGAGTGCATACTGCAATACCGGAGACAACCGTAAAAGCAAGACCGGTATATTCGATCAAGACATACAAATCGGGAGAAAATTGGAAGAAAATGGAGAGCAGGATCTGAGGGAGAGATGACAAGAGCGTGGATGCATTAGTGTATTCGATATCAAAAGGATAAACAAGACGTTCTCGTATTCAGTGAAGCCAAATACTACACACTATTTTGTAGATGAGACAATTGATTGTGTGGATGTCAAGCCGCTTGTATAAACTAACACTCCGGTTTCAAACGATGAGAAACTATGAGCTACGACTGTCAAACGGAAGCAATGAAGTCGTTTCAGACAATAAATTAGGATAACTCAAGGACTGGCATATCATAAAGTTATTCAAAACCAGGTACAATATGGATTTGTCCACCCATGTTTCTGTGAAGGATACATGCAAGCATAAGGTATCTAGCGCATCTGACTAAAAAATTCGACATCTTTGAAATGAACAATCATATGAAACACGAAATCAAGAGGACATTGGGTCGCCTGATGTAAGTTTGTCCCTTATGCTGACAGCATCTGGCAAGTTGTTTCGATTGAGCGCGTTCTTAAAGGACAGGTTAGTTATTGTTTAAGTCATCCGGTAGGAATGTGGCAAGTGAATGACGACAACTTGGTGTCTATGGTTGGACGATCTACCATGTGTAACAAATTTAGTAGGCTATTTTCGAACAGATGTGTTTGTTACTTTTTGAAATAACGGACCTAATAGCAAGAGCAACTTGATTAGGAATGGGTGTCCTATCAGAACACTCTGCTAAGTTTTACAATACGGAAGCTTCGAAAAGGTACAACCATACACTGACACTGACACTAACCACCACAGTTTCCGTTACTAGCACGAGATGGTAGCTTTACGAAGATGATGAGAGATTCAGACAGAATTCGTGAAATCTATGAGACTGGAAAGCTTGTTTATACGTTAGAGTGAAAGGCAATCCAGGTTTGGTAACCTCAGTGGTACATTAATGAAGCTTCGTAACTGGCATCTTCTACCGTGAATGAGATCATCGTACTCAAAAGCGTCCATAAGTGGGAACCACTTAACAAAAAACCGAGCTCTTTGAAGGACATAGTCTGCCCATATGTTATTTCTGCTAATTCAACTGTTTTCTTAAAATAGCTGAGCTAATGCATGCGAAACATATGGTGGACCATTTCAAGCTACTCTTATTGTTCTCGAGTAGTTCAGCCTCCTCAAGGTAGGCTCGGACTAGAAAAGGCTAAATCAATGCGTTAACTTGTGCTGCGCACAGAGCAAAGCTAAGCATATATGGTCTGTGGTGATGCGTTACTATCTACAGCACTTCTGTGACCACCCACCCACCCACCGTGTGCTCTGTCACGCCAATTGCAGGTGATAGACCATTCGCCTTGACACAACACTACGTGTAACGTGTCTGAAAACCCATCAGAGAATACCACAGATAAGAGATTAAGCTTCGACTTAATTGAATCTCCCGTTAACACCAATTTAAGCTGCAAATCACTGCATTTTGCTACTGCAGTATTCACCTGTTCAGAGCGTGATTATCTCTCCGGCAAGACAAACCTGTGTTCTTAAAAGCCGTAAAATTAGTCTGGTGTGTGAGTGGTATTCAACAGATATGTAAAATGAAGCGGTAGGTGGATGGGTAAATTGATTCAACCAGAAGACAGCGGGAGGATCCTTGCTGACAGCATTAGAGGGAGAACACAATCTTACCGAGTTACTGTGTTGAGCGAACTGGGAATAACAGAGATCAAGCGTGGGGTATTCGAATGTCGAATTGGTCAACCCATAGTCTAGAGGTACTAATGTTCAATTGCTCTCAGCTCACAAACCGTGCACCGAAGTGCAGTCGCTCCAGATTGTACAGCTTCGTTCACCGAGGATAAGGGGAATGAGAGCCACGTGCTGGAGACGATGACCCAATCAGATCAACGACTTCGAACAGTTCTGTTTGTCCGGTGTAACAGGGTTTGAGAGCTACGCAGTGAAAGTGGTAGCTTTGATGAAAGACCGCCACTGGCTGCGCGACATATCCGTGTTTGCTAGGGTCACCAACCACTGGTTTTTCCTGTCCACCGGTCTCCATTAGGGGAGACAAGTTACCAACGCGACTCAGTTGACTAATAAGGGAATTCATGTTTCGTTGCCAAGTCATGGACTGACTGTCCCTGGATTATCTCCATGCGACACAAGATTGCGCGAATAGGCAAACGGCCTCTAGTATACGAAGTGCACGCCCTAATTAGCGCAGCCTATTTGGTGCAGCCAGCTGATCTATCGAGGGAGACTGAGTTTCATCTGGATAAAATTTGAGCATGAGCTGCCAACTTTGAGCTCCTCGAGGCTGGGGATGTCAAACCAATCACACTGCAGTAAAGAAGTTCATATACTCGGGAGTCTGATCAATGCATATCGGAAAGCTGCATCTGAGTTATAATGAACAGTAGAGATCTTCGTATTCTTTGAAAGACATCCATTCTAGGTACCTATTCGGGGAACCTTTCACATGTTGTAAACCATAACTGAAGTTTTTTGCTGCTACGCGGGGATGCGTCGGGGATGCACTTGTCCTTTCGAATGTTTAAAACTAGCAGGGTCGCATACCGTATCAAAAAAGTATCAGTAGAGACTCAGTTGTTACCATCATGAACAGAAAGTGGTTACTGTGCACTGAATTCAAGCCTTGGGAAATTTCACAACCCCACACGTGCACAGCTGCCCAATATCCGACCTATACAACAGAGTACAGACCAATGCGGCAGCATTAGATCTGATCTTCACAGATGAGCTGCGGTGAAGTCAGTATCTGCGGTCGACCAAGTTTCCCCTTAATTTCTCCACCTTAGATTCCGTTGATGTCCGTCCAGCGAACTTATTCGCAGAGCCCATTGCATTGAAAAACGAATCGATCAAGTGATAAATAGATCACTCTAATGGTTTCACAATCACAAAGGGACTTTGTATTACGTTGTGTGTGAAAGTGTGGATCAAATGCATTTGCACCGCCAGCAGAAGGGAATCAACAATGTAATGGACAGCTTGACTACTGAAACTCGCTCTCCATAAGTTTAGTTATCTGGCTTACAAACGATATGTCCTGTTCATGGAACAGCCACGTCTAATTATGAATGTTTGAGAAGTTGAGGGCACCGACAATAAGATGAATAATCGCTCCATATGCTGAGTCTAGAAAAGCCGAAACGGATGGTATACGCAACGGCGGTTGGAGACAAAGTTTCTGTCATGTGGAACTTCCGGTATCCACGCGAGAGACAGGGTCACCAGACAGTCACACAAAATAACAGCTCTAACTAGAATGACATCACATGACTACTTTATTGTCCAACTCACCATGGCGAGAATGGAAGGAATCGGTGTCATATTGGTCACGCTGACCATTGATAGTATAGCGGGCATGTGACCTTCTTCTGCACCGGTAAAGCAAAGTCTGTCATGGAGAGAAATACAGAGCATGAAAACGATGGAAGACACAAGTTAGCTGGGCTTGAAAAAACAGTATGCACACTGGAGTATCTCACCAAAAATTAGTCGAACAGAGGTATTCTGCACAGACACAGACGGCAGTCTATGAATAGTTCGAGTTTATCCAAAACCGGCACTTTTGCTTGATTGAGAAACCGCATGGAAATTTGCGGTTTCTGACAATGATATGTTGAATTAGAAGGAAAGGACAAAATTCAATGTACCTGAGAAAAAGAGATTGTGCTACGACACATTAGTAGTTGACTGCTGCCAGGCAGATCATTTTTAACCTCCGTTGGATAGCGATGCAGTTATTTTTTCGTGGAAATCTTCTAGGGGAATGCATCTGCGCTGAGAAGATAGTTTTCGCCGCACAGGAATGTTTTACTAGTGTGACCTAACATAGAGAAGAAACCCCCCTGACCCGTGGTGATACTTTCAGACTTCCCAAATAAGTGATACAATTTCAGATAGGAAGCAGTAAAGTGGAAGCGTCCTGTGACGTTAACCAGATTTTCCAGTCGACTGACACTAAACGGAAGACTTCAGGGGCACTGTCCACTGATTACCAAGAAACATCTGCGGACTTTCGCTTGAACTGCTATGGCCTGTAATTAGGCCAACGATATGATCACCTCACCAATCGTTTGAACTGGTCTCCCCAATGACAGCTGGGATGAGACAGCAACATCAGTCCTGGCACTGATGCTCCACTGCCGCACAACCACAAACTCTCTAATCATACTTGAAGTCTCAGAATAAAAAGAAGAGAAAGTGTGGAGGAGGGGACTCGGTGATTGCATAACGCAGACAGTATGAGATGCCTAAACTTCCAAGCACTCATTCAGACAATATGAGGAAAAATTGGGAAAACGAATGCCATTGAAAGCGATCAGCCACTATTTCTCGCAATGTCTCCGACCAAGCACAGGAGAGGTCACGGGGACTCCTGAAAGGTGCACTGCATCAACAACACCCAAACTCTTCGCAATCTCTTTCAAAACCTTCGGCCAAGTCATACGTTGTCCACCTCGCGGTTTAGAAGTAGGAGCGGAGAAAAACATCAGTCTTGGTAGACAGAGTTTCGGCATAAGTACCACATGACCAACCAACCGCAGTTGATAGGGCTAGATGCTTTCCGCGATTGAAGTACCTACTGCACAAACAAATACCTTGTTAGGAATTCATTGGTGCCATCCGGAACCACTAAGGCGTCAAAAACCTGAAGACCCTTCACATCAACTGTTCACAGAGTTCATGTTTCACAACCATACAAAACACAACCCCTGCTGTAGCATGGCACACGCGACCATTGAAATCCAGTGATATGCCTTTTTGGCGCTATAAGTGACGCAAATTAGCAGACGAGATTCTCGTCCCTGAGATTCATGCACTCATACCGTCAAACACAGTTCCGTCAGAGCTAATACAATTTCTAATACAACAACCTCAAATGTCACTTCTTGAATTGTAAGTAGTAGGTTCAGAATCTAAGCCATGAAGATGCCAGGCGTATGTAGAAAGACGGTAGAATGGTTGTCAGTTTGGTTAAGAGAGTTTGTGCTGCGCCTTTGTATTCAAAAATGAGAGAATGTCATCTGCGTACTCCATATCGACAGGGCTCTTGCCAACTACAATGTGAACACCGGGTTTTGAAGACATTTTAACATTCGCCTCAGTAGTTCATGACAGTTGAACAAGGATGGAGAGAGTGAACACCCTTGTTGTACACCATTTTTGTAGGGATAGTTCACTATACACTAACATGCCCAGAAGTACGTGAATACAGGGACCGCATTATGTTCATAAACTTCTGGGGCATACCCGTTGAGCAAGTGTGGTTACCAGCACTGACCAACAGACAGAATCGAATACACCCTTGAAGTCAACTGAAGCCGACTGAATTGTTATTCGAAGTACTGTGCCAGCGGTCCAAACATTTTCCTTTGCTGGATTTCAGAGAGCCATTCACTTACAAGAGGCTTCTAAGGGCCAGCCGAACAAACTAAGTGGAGCAGCCAGCGGACGCTTCCAGCGTTTTTCGCATCTTCCATTTCTCCGGATTTTCAGTCAATCAAACTTCTCGGTTTCTAAGGGCACCCAGTTTTACCTGGAGTCGGATGATGGGCCGGGTTGAGTTGTGGTTGCGGTCAGGAGAAACCTGTCACTGGGCCTCTAGAGAAGCGATGGTCCTATCAGAGATCCAATACTTGGAGGAGGTTGGCTGGGTTGTATGGCAAGCGGAAGTTTCAACTTTGAGTGGCACTGTGGATATCCGTTCCCCGCAGCCGTTACTATCCAACAAAGGACGATCCGGAAGGCGTTCGAGGAGCCGGTTCTGAAAGTTTCGTTCCACTCTCAAATTCACCAGATTCTCAATGACTAAGTGGGATGTACGCATTTTGAGTAGATCTGAAAAGCAGCATCGCACAAGTACATGGTCGGAGTCCCAGCTGGTATCCAAAAAAGAGCAGTGGTTAATGATCAGCCCTCACCATTGGTAACTGAAGTTGATGTCGTCGATTTGGACTCGCTACTGGTTCGTTGGTGGGTACTATGTCTTCAGGCGATTTCTGTTGTTCCGGAAATTGGTATTGCAGTGGAATAGTCTGTGATCAGCACACATCTGAAGTAGACGATATCCCATGTCAGTGCGATCACCTAATCGGGCCTCAGCAGCACTTCATGTCACCACCACCAACCACAACGATATATCATAGTTGTACGTGAAAGTGCATTACCATTTTTGTAGAACAAGTAGCATCACATTTGCTAAAACCCAACCCAGATGGCCAGGAGACTACGTTGATCACACCTCTAACCAGTGACCAATCTTGCACGGGAGATTCTGTGAGTGTCGCATGGACACCACCAAACATAGCTCAACGGGTCATGGAGGCACACAAACCGTCGCAGTATGGTAAGGCCCAGTCTCTGTGACGGTTGAATTTGTAATTTTTGACCATAGGGGGAAAACAAACGGAGGAAAATGCTATGACCGAGTTCAGAACTAGTTACCAGATTCTCTTCATCACTTAGCTTTTTTTGCTCGTATCGAAGTTAATTTATTCACCATGAAACTTTCAGATAAGGATAATTATCCGCGTTCAATATGGTGCACTGGGATATCCCGTCACTATGGACAATGCAGAAAAGTTCACTGTGGGAGAATATAAGCGGATAATTGCTTCAGTGCAAAAGGCGTGCAGTTCGGCTCCTGCTATTCACTCCTCCGACGAAGACCATCGTCCCTGAGGAGACATCTTGGTGTCCTCCGGAGGACTTCCTCTCCACAGAACCCAGCTCCTGATATTATTCACAGTTCAAGAACAGAGTCACTGGAGAAAAACAAAATGATTGGTGAATGAACAAACAATGGACAAGTAAACTGGATGTGGTTCCGTAATACACACCACAAAACGTGGTTGCATGTGTGCACGGCCGTGGAACGTGACTTACCTAGACATGGAGAGTACCTCACCGTTGATACTGCCAAACACAGACGCACCAACAAACACAGGCATAGTCCAAGCCATCACACCCATGCACCGATTGGCCATCGCCTAAAACACAAAATCATTGGGGGGTACTCGACTGTAAACATAGATATGGCTATCGGTGTGGAGCACTTGGTCAGCGCCGGTTGTCAGCCACACGCTCAGACAAAATACTTCCTATCATAAATGTGACGTCGAATCTGTGTACACAAATACCTAAGCAGATATGTAGGATACCATGCAGAGCGGAGCTAGTCTGAAACAGCTCTGACTTTTTGAGAGAACATATTACTAGGGTCGCTGAAATCTCCTCGATAATCCGTGCAGGTTTTTTGCCATTATTTTGGATCATCAGATAGACGTAGGCCATGAGTTTCCGTCAGCTTAATGCCTTACGTAAAAATTCACAGTTTTTCGTTTGCAGTATGATATGATTTTATATTTATTATGATTTCAAGAAGTGACAGCTTTGACCTGCATAGTTAATCTCACCAAACCGGACAGATAGTGATATGCACATTCAAAGCGAAAAGGTAATTAACCGAGTCCTTTTGTTAAGGATTGAACTTGGAACTCATTGTTAAAATACTTGAGAGCCCATGTCCCCCATTTTGCACGGTGTTTTAAGGTTCACGGGGCCATGGAACAAGCATACTTGGGTTAGTTGATTAATAAAACTCCAGAGGGATGAATTACTACTAATCAGGTAACGATACCCTGCTTATCCGTGGGACTGCATGTATTAGGTCGCCTTCACATGACCGTCACAGGAGTTTAAGCCCAGCTTAGCAGAAGAGGATGAAACGAACAGATAGCAGTCACCAAGTGTTAATCAACCACATCTCCAGAACTGCTGCTCGACATTCTTTCTACACATGGTTGTTGGGCCATCGCGGACGAAGTCGCTCGAAAGTATCAAAAGTAATTTCATGAAAATCTTCCGGATAACGAATAGTGTCTACAGCTGACCTTTTCCTATCGGTTAGCTGTCACCAAAATGGTCATTTATTATTTCTGCCGTCTTATGTAAGCTAAACCAGGCAGGCACTGAAGCGATCTGCGGCAGCTGCGTCCCCAGACAGCATCTACTGAACTTATCGACCTGTGGAAGCGAGGTTGCAAGGTTTAACCTAACGCAGCCTCTGGTGATAGTGAAACACGAAATATCGGTCGAGTTGAGCAGAAGTTTCAGGCAGACCTAATTGCCGGTTTGTTCACCGAATTTGCTAGATTGCAAACTGTTCGTCACTATTCGGGGAGGCATCGTGGGTGATTGGTTAAATGGAGACTACTGAAAGACACAATTGGTCGACATTGTGAGCAAACAAGTTTTACTGGATACAACGGTGGTGCAAGTGAGCAAGAGACATACTTGCTGTAACACGCTTCTGGTGCATAGCTGCTATACCACTCAAAGGGAGAATTAGGGATGAGATACAGCTAGGTTATTCAAGGCTAGACAGGAGCAGTCGAGATGCGAAGGGACCTTTCGGTCAGTAAGTTTACACCTTAACAAAAGAACTACGGTGAGCTCATGTGGCTAAATGAGAACAACGAAAATAACGTATAGGGTGAACGCTTTAAATATGGTGAATAAATGAAGGCGATGGCTTCGGAATGAACAAAAAATATAATCAAAAAGTGAAGCCTTTGCGCTTGTTACAGTTGAACCTGAAGCAATGAAAACCATATGGAACGGTCGGTTAACTGAAGGTCGACATGGATGAAAATTGCTATGTACACGTGGTTTATATCAGCGGAAGAGTTAGCGGTCACCCGAGTTTGGGAACCGCTGAGCTACAGTAATACTGCTATTGCCTACAGATCTGAATTTCGTTTGGACTGGAATAAGTGTGTTTACAGGTTCTCCACATATTTCGAGGCCAGAGAGTTGGCAACCATCAGCTCAAACTAGATAGTGCTTAGGAAAATTTCCGCATACAGATATAGTTGTTAGCAGTCTTTGAAGAACCCAAGGCGTCACTGAGTTAGCTAGGTCAGCAACGGAGTGTTTGGTAAAAACGCTTGATTTACAGCAGCTGGTAAACAGTAAAGCGAATTTCTGCAAACTACTGTTTTGCAGGCGCGATGGAAGTACTGAAGATTACACAGCACCATCACACTCATGGAAGACGTATAGTCGTGACGTGTGTCAAGGCTGTGAGATATGTCTCCATCTTTTTGGTTTTCAACGGCGCATTGTTTATTGGACTTATTCTGATATGTAATCATTCCGAAGGCTACTTAATGAGCAGAGACTAGAATGGAAAGTACGGTAACGATATAAGAAGTAAGAAACCCATCGCGCCACAGCTCAAGCGTCAATATATGGCTGCATGCTGTGGTAGAAATTTCTCATAGTTCAGACATCAAATGTTGTGTAAAATTCGAATCAGTAAGTCGACTTCCATACATCTGCTCAAAAACCGTGAAAATAGTTGGCAACAACTTAAAGAACCAATGCACAAATAGAAACTGTGTAGATTTTTTGCATTTCTTACGATAAATCAAGGGTAACCTTTGCATTTTCGCCACAAAGCAAATCTGGGACGATTTACTCAGTGAAGCGGGCTAAGAGGTAGCAGCGATTGTCAAAAAATGTACTGCAGGTTACCCAACTCGGCCAACTTGTACGGTTGTTCCGCGGATCACCGGTGGATATTGTATGGATTCGCAATAATCCGTGGTGAACTACGCTGAACATAGTACAGACGCAATAAACTATTTATCAGGTCGTTGAAAATTCTTCGACATTTCAAAAACGGTTTCGCCGTTCTTGGGGTATTTCAGGTAGACATAGCATCCAACTTTCCGTCAATCTAAGGTTCCACTTGTAAGTAAATTACACGACACTCGACTAGCACACCCGCGATCTCAAATGAGAGGTTCGACTGGGCTCCACGTAGGTCTCCCATGAGAACCAAATTGGTATGCAGATGAGTGTGTGTGTCTAAACATAATTTATGCAAAGGAAAGAGGATAATGTAGGCGATCCATTACCCGTATTTAGTATGGGAGTCCGGGCGAATACGATCCACAGAACGAGTGTACGTGACGTACAAAACTAGTTGTAGTCCAATGGGTTTGCAGAAGAGCCATTTATCTTAACACAGGAAGCCTCGAATTCGCTCTACAATTTATTCAGATATAGGGAACAGAAGCTTAACAGTTCATATTGTTAAGTTGATGGTTGTACGATTCAATGAGTTTGACGGTTTTGCTGCACACATCCCATCATTAATCGAAGTCTAATCAGTCCGCAGTGATGTGGCGGTACTTTGCGGTTGAGTGCTGTCACAGTTTGCAGGTCTAAAAAGTGATGTTCCACTACACCACTAAGCACATATATCATACGCTAAACATAATTTATGCAAAGGAAAGAGGATAATGTAGGCGATCCATTACCCGTATTTAGTATGGGAGTCCGGGCGAATACGATCCACAGAACGAGTGTACGTGACGTACAAAACTAGTTGTAGTCCAATGGCGGCATCCACTGGGTTTGCAGAAGAGCCATTTATCTTAACACAGGAAGCCTCGAATTCGCTCTACAATTTATTCAGATATAGGGAACAGAAGCTTAACAGTTCATATTGTTAAGTTGATGGTTGTACGATTCAATGAGTTTGACGGTTTTGCTGCACACATCCCATCATTAATCGAAGTCTAATCAGTCCGCAGTGATGTGGCGGTACTTTGCGGTTGAGTGCTGTCACAGTTTGCAGGTCTAAAAAGTGATGTTCCACTACACCACTAAGCACATATATCAGGCAACCGATTTGCGCCATAGCCACTCGATTATTTCCGACCAGGATGTAACGGTGGATTGCTTTTCTAAGACAGACAATCCCTGCTGTATACTTCATGACATCAAAGACTCCAAACCAGTGGTCCGATAGTTAAGGGGTTGTCCTTGGAGGAGTGAAAGACAGAGGAGACAGATCTGGCTAGTAAGTAGAGGAAATATTTCTCATTAATTTCCATGCATTTATTAAACCGAGCGGATAACCTGACTTGAAGCAGTGACATATGAGGGGCGCCTCTTTAAACTGAATCCGGGAGGGTGTTCATAAGTCGCTGGACTTGATGTTACTTCATGTGGCTTGTGTACAGAGTGCAGAAGAGAGATAAACTGTTACTTGGACGACGTGGAAACTCGGCAAAATCCCAAGTTTTTCCCGAGATTTTTGGCACGATTTAAGTGCCACAGTGGTTTTTTGCTCTTCGCAAAGACCAGCCTTCAAAAGGAACAACTATTTACTAGTCCCTGAAGGTGTTTTCTCCTGGAGGAAAACAGCAGACATTCAAAGAACTATCTCGCAGTTGGTCCTCCTGGGTCCATCCACAGAGTAACAATTGTATTATATGCAAAAATTTGAAGTGAAAACACATGCTAGTGGAATAGGATTTTATTATATATATATATATATATATATAATCCGATGTTTCAGTTGCCGTGGTTAGCCTTTCTAAAGGATTTCTACAATCAATCGAATACGAGTCAAGCACTGCATCTGTGGGAGCTTTCTGTGCGTGTACGTGTGATCGTGCACGTACTTTTGCTGAGGTGTGCCTGTGTTTGTTGTTGTGCTGGCTGTGATGAGCCATTGTTGAGATTCCGGTTTGACTTCTAGCCGCTATGCCCAATAAGGTGTTTAGAAAGTCCAAGCCAGATAGACGGAGTGCTGGCTCCATCCCTACGGTTGACGGAATTAGGTTGTGTTGATCTCCCATCCCTCAGCGCACGTCTATTCCACGTGTAACTTGAATCCTGCCTGGAGTTCAAGTATGCCATCGAAATTGTTTTGATGGCATGGCTCAAGTGTGTTAAGTGCATTCAATGAGCCATGTTCACGTTTTTTAAAAAGCTCTATTAAATTTCGTAGAGGAAAACGCGCATTTTGTTTGCCTTCCGTGATTCGCGCGTACTGTGCTGTCGACACAGGAAATTCAGTAGACCCAGTTTGTGCGGTATTTTAGGGTGTTATCAATTTGGAAGAATGCTTTAATATAAAAACCCCGAGGTGCTTTCGAGAGACATTTCAAGTTCCGTTTCTATAGAGTATTACCAAGGTTACCAACGCATTTTGTCTCGCTGTTTCTGAGCCGTTTCAGTAGATCATTTCGCATGGACTCATCCGACTATAGATTCTGGACACGACTCACCAACGATCCAAAACGTGAGCGTTCGACGTAATGTGGATGCGAAGACTCACAGCGTAGTACCTGTCTGAATGTGCAGGTTTTTGTGGATTTCCAATGAAAACCGATGGATGGTTGGTGCAAATAGACAGTTTGAAGTCCAAGAAAATTGTAGTCCTCTACTCACTCCAAGTTGCCACCTTGTTGTTGTACTGCATCGTACTACTGTATTTTTCGTTCAGTTAGTTTGAAAAGGCGTGCTGTTGTGTGGCTGATATGATCGCAACTATGTTGCCGGACGTATCTCAGTCATGTGCGGGGTGCATAGGTGAAGTCAGTAAGGCCTTCAATTCTGCATAGTCCATGGAACGACTTGCCATCATGGAAGATACTGGATACCGGATACACACTTTATTACGCATAGCTGCCAGAGGTCAAGCGGTAATCTCAACAATGGCGCTAATCGCATCTGCCTGATCTTAGGAACACATCAATCAGAGGACATGATAGTGGACCCAAATGACGCTGTACTTGACTCATTCAGTTGATTGTAGAAATCCTTTAGAAAGGCAACTGACATGTCGGGTTACAATATCCTATCCCACTACACTTCAAACTAGTCTAGATTCTAGACTTCCCATGTTCACGCGGTGTCCCTAAACGCCTCTTATTCATGAATCTTGAGGGAGCTCTACCGAACATGATGGATTGATGGCCAAATTTGCTTGTGCTTGGCTACCAAACTAGCGGTGTTTCGCCACCAACGTGCGTTCCTGTTTACTTCAAGCAAAATACGTTCATGGCCTTTTTGTGGAGACACATATTCCAAAATATTTGGATTAACAACAACTAAATGGTTCTCGATTGCGGGTCAGTGTGCCGCATGTGAATTGGGTGGTCCAAAGTGGACTGGCTAAGAATACCGATGTTATTGGTACGACCCGATTTACGTGACGCCCATCCGGTAAATCCTGTTGAAAGGATAGTGATTTTCGGTTGTTTTCGGATGTAATTTTGCAATCTCGGGAATAGTAGAAGTTCACCTTCGCGGCTCCGTAACGTTTTCTGCATGCAGCAAACTGAAATGGAAAGAACTTTGTGTCGCCTAAGTTGTTAGCCTAAGGTTGTTGCGGCAAACGGTACGTTTACTGTCAACAGCTTACGGGTTCTTCAGCTACGTCGCTATTTAACTAAACAGTATACGAGCAGTACAGTGTCCCCAGTGCCATGATAGTTTAGATGTGCTTCAGGTGACAAAACCAAAAATTTGAGCCTTTGACCTGTAGCCTTCATCTTACGTCAGAGAAGACCAACATGTATGAAATAATTTCACTTGTGTTGACGTACCTTCGGTGGCCCAGTTGTTCAAGTCTGTCACAAATTAGGGAGTAGGAACGAGTGAATAAGAGCAACCAGTGTTAATTCTATTTACTGCTTGCGAGGAGGTTTGTTTTTAGTCAGAATATTTCGTTTCGGACATTTGATAAATGATGGGACTTCGCAACACACTGAAGAGACTGTGCATTACGAAACAGGTTGAGAACTATTGTTATGGCCAGTTCCACATCTTCCATAGACGAAGGTTGACAAATATGTCGAAAGATCGTCGAGTTATTACAATAGCAGTAGCTGCTGCTCAGTAGTAGCGGCAAACGGCGGCTTACCTGGTGACTTCAATCGGTAAAAAACAGTGGTTTGACAAGGAAACTTGTACGGTGATTTTGAAAGCCACTTACCACCGCCACAGCATCAGAGTTCAGGATCTCATAAGGTGACAAGACCGCCAGATACGCAACGTTGGCCAAGATGTAGACCACTGTTACGAGGCTCATTGACAAGACAATTACAATGGGAAGGTTCCTGAAACGTAAGGACGACTAAATAAGGGATGATTACGAGAAATGTGCAGTTGGATTGTCAACAGTGACATGGGACATTATTCGACATTCCACCGCGTTTGTATAACGTAGTTACCTGGATAGTGCCGTTCGCAATGTATGCAGAATGTAAAAAGGTTTTAAATAAAACAATTATTATCCAACCGAAAGTACGATCCCAGTTATTGGTAGTATTGAACCACTGGGAAACGGACGACAGGTTGACCGCAACGGGCTAGCAAATTTACGATAGAGTGACACTGCACCTTGAACGATGACATTGATAGGTAAATTCATCCGTGAAAGCAAACGATGGGTGACCCCACTTCAACAGACCAAGGTGGCTTGCTTGTGGAGTCAGAAGTAGAATCTGATGAACCGATCAAGAACAGCTGTCACTCACGTCATATCAGCTGCAGTCAAAAACTCTTGTTGGATCGGATTCAGTGCATAGGTATGTGCATAGGTATGTGACGAGTATTTTTGGCTTAGTCACATGGCCGTTCGAAAGAGAAGCATACTTTATGGCAGTCAACGTGTACAAACCTTGACAGAAGATACACCTGAGCGACGATCCTGCATAAGAATTCAGCTCAACTTCTTGTAGTACGGAAGCCACACATGTTGCTTACAGTCTTGGCACATGATATATTTACACCACAGTAATGATAACAGCTATTGTAGAAAGTTTTAGTGGAGGTGGCTCACACCGAATCAAAAACTGAGAACAAATATATGCTGAAGATATAAACAAATCCACTTTTTCGGGGTCCACTAAGCCTTGACCGAGGGCAGTGTATTATTAGAATCTCGGAAGAGGAAGGTCTATCCAAAAGCTATGGTCGCGAAACGAATCAACGGGAACTCATATTTTTCCATCTAATTTGAACATTATGTGTAGTAAAATGGGATCCGATCAAAGAAAGGTGGAAGGAAGAAAAGTGACCACCCAAACGGTTTGCTGGGGTTTCGTACCCCTCCCCTGATGAGATGTTGTTCTGTGCTGCACGTTTGATGGTATAACCACTCTGTCTGTCGTACGACCAGCCACGTGTTACCAAGCTGCAGTGTGCAAAAGTTCACGTAACACTTATCCCGTCACGTGCGATAGGTTCTGTCTTGTGATTTTCTTATTTTACAAGAAACACGAAAAAAAACAGAGAAAACTGCCTGAGAAATTCGGTTCCGTACCAGCCTGAGTGTGTCCACATATGTATACCAGGGCATCTACCTTTGTCAATTCAGTCCAGCTAGTCTACCTTCAGCATTTGCATTACAGTTTCATAGACAGCGACAAGTTGGCGCAGTCAATCTCTCGTGACTTTATAAAATTCACCGTGAGTTTGATTTCAAGAAAATGAAGAGGTCGTCACAAGTAAACCAGTGAAAAGTTAACCACTGTGCAGTTCAACCTTGCTAATTGTCCACATCATAGTTTTAGGTACTGAATCCTGACATCGTCATCCCATGTGACGCATAACACAAAAGGGCAGCATTGTTCCTACCCGACTGTACTGTAGCGATCACTCACTTTATTTCAACCAGCATCGCTTAATTTGTCTGGTACATCTGCACTTACTAGATCAAGTGTCTCGTTTGTTCTAGAAACACAAATCACGTGACAAAATCCTGTCTCGCCTGCAATCTTGATCGACAGTAACTACACTACAATTTCCCATCCATTTTGTTTATGCAAGCTTACCAAGTTTATGCCAAGCTTAGCACCTTCACCCACACCAGATCAGGTTGTTTTCAAGTTTATGCAACAGTCGAACAACAATGCACACCCCTCTCTTCATATTCTACATAATAAATATAGATGAAACTTTGCCTAACACACACGCACGTGCGCCCAGAGGGCAGGAAGATAACCAAATTCCACAGACGATTACGGAACACGTGTAGCAGTTATACTGCAAAGAAAACACGTCCCGCATCCAGACCTTTACTCCGGAACTCTTACAAGTCGTGCGCAAACGAATATGACTACGGCACTCGGACAAACCGGGAAAAACGCGTAGCGGCCAAAAACTCCAGAGAAAACAGCATATCTGCCTCCGGACTAAATTGAAGCATTATCATAACTTGTGCTCAAAACGATAAATCATCTTTCTAAACCATTTCATCCTGGCATTGTATTTATTTAAGGTGCACATGAAGACGGTCATTCGTTTGTCGCATCAGATATATCTGTAGGAGCAAATTAGTGTGCAAATAACTACACCAAATCTGCGAGTTTTCGCTTAATTTCAAAAAAAACTTCAGACCCGACCTTTGGTCTTGGATGATGATAGAAACGATAGTGCTCAGGTGCAACGTTGCCCAACGCGGAAAAATTCCATACCCTATTCTCACCGAGATGGACCAAGTGGTTAGAGCGCGAATTTACTGACCGGAAGGTCCGTGGTTCGAACCCGACCTCTGCCTCTCAACTTACCCTGTCTAGGCTTGGGCGACCTAGCAGTATCCCAGCCCTCGTGCTTCCTTCAGGTAGTATGGCAGCTAGGCACGGGGAGGGTGCCACAGCCGAACGACTATTCTCACCGGAGTAGTTTTGTAAATAGATCTCAAACATTTTTGGAAGAAAAGGCGATAAGACATGGGGTATACATGACGTTCACATGCGATCGAATCCCAAACTCACTCACTGATAATGCCCTCACCCTCTCCCAAGATGGCACCTGGTTTTACCAAGTTCTCAATATATAACCAGCAGGTTTGAAAAGAAAGCGTTATTAAGACTGCCACAGATTTCTTGAGGCAATAGCACAACAGCACAATTCGCTCGCTCTGTCACCGTTCTTGGAACTATCTGCCCAAACAACCACTATCACACTGTTTTGTGCAATGGACGAAAAAAGAAGTCTTGTGTATTTCTCACGCCCCTGATTACGGTACATGGGTCAAAGTGAGCAACAACGTCGAGTTTCTGCTGAGGTACTGCTTTGCCAAACACCACGACAGCAACCAAGTGCGTTTGTGCTGATTCGTGTGATTTTGTGTTGGTGTACTTCCCGGAGATAGACGAAAACAACCAGTTAGAAATTTCATTCAATGTAACTCGGTGGTACATAAGCCAGGTATGCCATATCACGAAATCCACTTGTTCGATATAGAGGAAATCAGGAAAGCGGAGACTGGACACGGGGGAAAAAGCCATGATCGAATAAATCGATATCTGCCAGAGATGTTTCCCTAATAAAAGCCTTAAACTACGTGAAACCCCCATTATTGAAGCGGCCTGACAAGTTCGGTTCACTTTAGACTTACCGTGCGGGATTTTTCATTTCTCCAGTGAGGAAGTTCAAGTAGTTCCTAGGCGAAAGAAAGAAAAATAGATAACACAGTTTAAACCACATTGCCGAATGGTGCCTCTAAGTTGGCTAGTGTGTACCTACGAAACATAAACAATCCGCAGGGATTGGGCCCTTTCTCACGCATCTGCAGGAGGGGCGAATCATCGGCAAATAGAGTCCACCAGACCCCTTCCCACCAAATAATCGTGAAAGCCCACACAGCACATAAATGGAACCCAAAAGTAATGATCAGGTAAAATTAAAAACAAGACTAATACATTGTCTTGTCTATTCTCAACCATCAGTTGGACCCAATTGCATGCATCTGGCATTATCTCAGGTCCGACAATAGGATAGTCTAGAATAGTGGAGAAAACGCTGGACTGGAACGAAAAGACCAGGTTATTCTTAGCCACTCGCGCTATACGTTTGATGCAGTGGTTTTTTTTAGCACATTTAGTCATTTCAGAGCTGGTCAGGAAAGTGCAGTGGTCAGATTGTTGTCTCTTGACTCCACCTGATTGAGGTCATTTACTGCAACTCAGATAATGAATACATCCACGATACCATCAATATTGCAAGGTCAATTTTCTGCACCGCAAGTTAAGCACAAGAATTTATTACCGATTTATTACTGTCCAAGATGATGTTGAAGAAACTTTACGGCTTTAAATACGTATCTGTTCTGTGGAAATCGCATTAATCAAAGCCGGTTTCAGGAGACAATTTCCGTGATCTTAGTAAAACTGTCTCATGAAGGAAACTACTCATAAGGATGCCGAAAACCCCTCGACAGCCCACGACCGGTTTTCCCCGTCTTGAGACCCGTCAGGTAAGCGCTGTCCCCTAGCTTCCATCAACCTTATGTCTTAGGTGAAACTGCCGAAATACACTCACTCGTATATCAATTTGGTTTTGGCGAGAGATCCACCTGGAATCCAGTTGAATCTCTCGTTTAGGGTGTTTTTAAGCAATCACTTTGGGCTCAAGTAAAGCTTAAGGCTGACTGAGACTCGGGGACTGCGCCTGGTTGATGAGCCCTAAGAAGGGCGAAACCGGTCGTGGGTTGTCGCGCAGTTTTCAGCAACCTTGTGAGTTTCTTCTATGAAAACACAATGCGATATTTTGGATGTTGTACCAACTGAAATATGAGGCGGTCTTTGTGCAGCACATTCAGTTGAGGAATATCATAAACAGGAGGTTCATTTGAATCACCTAGGAGCACCAAACTCACATGCAAGTTAATGTTTGTTCAAAACTGTGTCATCTCATACTAAGCTGTTTGGCACGACATTCGTAAATCCGTCATCAAATAATGAACATTGTCCAATTCAAATCTAAACGGAAGTTTGTAAACTGATCAGTTCCCCCAAAATTTGGTTCACATTACCTGTAGTTCAGAGTAACCCAACAACCGGAGGACAAGCCTTTTTCTTGTATGCGTATGTGCTGATGGAATTTTAAAAACTTCACGGCCGCGGCAAACAGTAATCTTTGGTCCCCATATTATTAAATTAGGTACCTCGCGTCCTTAGTTAGTTGCACATGTGTTGACGATATTGTCAACAGCTGACGGCACCTGGGTTCGCAATTCTTGTCTTACCTGCGACGTGCCCTTAACGCTCTCATTTTCTAGTAACCGCATAACTCGTAATGAAAACAGTTGGATGCTTCTCTAAACCCCTTATGTGTTTCTCGCTAGCAGTCTACTCATGTAAAATATATGATCCCTAAAATTACTCCATTTTTGTGCAAATTGCCTGCGGGCATTCTGTGGCCTGCACCGATTTCTATCAGGTTTTAAAAGATTATACTCGCTTCTCCATACTGAAGTAACAGTATATTTCAGTATTTAACGGGAGGAGCCCACCCATTTTTCAAGCTCGCATATCACACGCCAAATTTAGCGGCCTCTTGAATTCAACTGTAATGAAAAATTGATAGATTTTTACGTCATGCGACAGAGTTTTTGAGGCACAACCAAAGTGCATTTGGAATCGGTGGTATTTTTACAACTTCATATATAGGTTTTCCAAAGATTTCCGGCAGCGGTTGACATAATCCGTTACATGTTCAAAAATATTTATAATAATCGTTCAACTGTGAATCTTTCGGTGCCTAGTTGCCATGCCACTCGGAGGAACCGTGAGGTATTGTTCTAGATGGTAACAGTCGCACCTTGAATGTTTAACCTAAGCAAGCACGATGGACGGGTTTCGTGTAATGACGTAAGGCTACTCGTACTGTTGCAAGTACGGTGGGATTCCACAATCTAGGACTTGAATACAGTGATAAAAAATAAACGACTGATGCAATAATTTGTGGCAATTAGTTGCCCATTGAACTGACTAGACCCCTTTCAATATCGCTCTCGTTATCAAGATAATTTCAAGATGAATTGTGATTAATATTGTGTGGAGTCGTAGTTCTGCAGACAGACCACATTCACTGAATGGTGAGTGCGTGGAACGCAGGTGCCCGACGAGATGTAAGATGAAGTCAACGAAAAGATCATGCTTTCTGTACTTGTATAAAACTTCCCCCTCCCCCCAGATTTTTTCACGCGTGGAACCCTTTTATTTTTCTGGCCGTAGTTTCGATGATGCATTACGCAACAATGAAATGCTGTAGGTGCATGTTACCTACGAGAATAGGGGTATGATTGACTATAGTCAACAAAATCATTTAGTTCCTGTGCCGTTGCACAAAGAAATCCATGACCTTGACCCATTTTCAACATCATTAATTCCGTTAACTGATCCAAAAGTTTCGTTCGCTGTTGCGCTTTCGGGTTGGACACTGGAGTAGACACACTTGCTGTTAAACATATAGCCGTGTCCTACCGATGACGAACGATGGAGATCACTACAAGTGTCAAAGAAAAGCAGGGGTACAGTTTCCACCTGCACGCCTATACATTTGAAGCCAAACTATCTGATCTTGAGCATATGTTCTGCATAAGTTACACGCAAAGGGACTGAGGCCCTCTAATGTATCAGTACCAACAAAGTGAGTGGCTGCGGGTGATCCAACATAGCCTGAACTCTGTACTCCATTTGGAATGCCACCAAAAGACCCAATAATCAGCCACAACTGAATAATTCCAGCTCCCTTCCTTCTCATGGTAAAAGTGGTTTCAGTATAGGAGGCCGATAGCGCATATCCGGCGCTTTTATCTGGAAACACGAACCTGTGTTATATTAAAGATAAACAAAATGTCTTCAAACAACCGATAAGAGGCAGACGAAGCAGGTTTCGCTGGTAACGCTGGACAAGATACTGCTCACTGATGGGTGTGGACCAATGGATGTACCAGGTGACCGGAATAGTCGGTCTCCATGAGCTACCGGTGAATTGTGAGCTCATTAGCTTGCCCTGTTGTCTTACGGGTAAGATTTTTGTTTTTAAACAAATTCACCAAGTCAACCCTACATGGACAGTAGTGAGAATACTGTCGTGAAAGATGTAACAATACATTTCACTAACATCAGGTAAAACTTTATCGCTATCAGAATATTCTCCTGATACACTTGCCGTGTGCCGGACTTTTGGGTGCCCAGTTGGCTCCACCATAATTTCACTTCTTCTTCCCAAATTTTGTGCGAACCCTAAATCTACAAACCACTGGCAAAAGACGTTTTCCGTCGAACACGGTCCTTAAGGCTCTTCAATGTGATTTCGAACAACTAATTGACTGGATATGCTCTCCCCTTGTTCTTTCAAACGAAATGTTCATACTGCTAGGTTCATTTTACAACAGGGTAAACAAGCAAGAGTGGTCTAGGCCTTAAAAACTATGAACACTGAGGTATGCTATGTTTCACAGACTTTAGGATGCGAATACCTTCGACGAAGCGTAACAAGAGCGTCTTGTCTGAGTTGAGCGCATCCCATCTGATGAGTGTCAATTGACTGATTGGATCCAACTTAATCCTACAGTGGTACGAGACAACTGCCTGATCAGATTTACTGGTACACAGTTGGGGAATAGATCCTGGTTACTTGTCCCTGATCATGCCCTAGTGGGTGTCAGCCAGGAATGTGTGGGAAATGAATTCCATTTGCCACCTGACAGCAATACACAAATGGTGTGTTAAACCTTCAAGCTGGATAACGAAAACACATGTTGGTAAACTACCAAGTTGAGATGTAAGTACACATCAGGCATGACTTTGTTACGTACGGATAGGGAGACAACCAAAAACCGACAGACGAGTTTGTTTATTATGTAAACGTGATTGGTTAGTCCGCTGAATCCATCAATGTGGATGTGAGTCACTACTAATGACTGTGTCGTCGTCTCCATCCCATCAACACAGGTCTCTGGTACGCATTTCTTTCGGAAGAATAGACAGCCGGATGATGCACTGAGTTTAGGGTGACCCGGGACAGCTGAAATGCGACTTAAGTGATCACCAGGCTTGATGATGGTCAAAGTTATACTTGAAAGCGTACAGGCAATTTCATGTTCAGTACACAAAGTGCCTCTGAAACTGTGATCAATGAAGGATCAGCGAGAGAATCTGTGGGTCATATTCCGCAAGAGATGGTTTCTTAGGTGTGCTGGAACATATGGTTTGTACTATGCAAAAAGTGGTCCAGACAGTACTAAGAACCGGTGATGGACGATTTGTTTGTATGTGCTCTCAATGGTATTCTGGTATTCTGCGAACGCACGCTGTGATTTTATTCGTTGGGGCTGTTGTTTTGCAGCTGTCCCCGTAAACTAGATATTGGGTCGGAACACTGGATAAGAACGCGTATTAGCAGACTAGCAAGATTATTAATCGTTGGTGGCCAAACGCTGCGGTCGTGTTATAGCTCAACAATGAAATAAATTAACCAACAGGAGAAATATTCAATACGAACATATGGTTGGTTAGCTGACTCATTGTGGGTATGACGGCGTATGATTTCATGAATCTACGCTCCCTGTCGAACACACCGCCGTGGACTAGTCCAACAGATTAAGGAGGCAATCTCCAACGGAGTTCAACAGAAATAGGAATACGGGGATAGCTTTGCTGAATTCAACTGTATCTCGCTTTACCATCAAAAGTGCCCAGACTTATGTACCTAGACAACTTTTAAGCCACATTTTGCAGGATCCCACTTACTGTGAGACAATAGTTCTGTCGAGAGTCAGTCTTTAATGTGTTACTGTAGTAGTTTTCGAGGAAAATATGAACAATTCAGTGTCAGTCTGAACCAAATCTTGGGCGTTCTTCACGTATAAATACACCATTCACCAGGTTTGATTGCGAAGTACAGATGTCAAAATCCCGGACCTGGCGTTTACGATGATAGAACCACAGCAACTTCAGCAACTGGAATAATCACATTCGTTGTAGGTTGTGACGATGGTGGTCTAGCAAACTTCAAATTTCCTTCAACTGATTCGGTTAACTAATGCTCTGAGCAACGTCGGAGGAAGTTCATTCGCGCAACGCATTCTATCAATAGCTTTAAAGACTTCAGTAGGCATAACAGTGGCATATTAAGAACTAGTGGTTGAATATCCTAAACCTGCATGCAGAAAGTTCTAGCTGAATTGGCGTCAAAACTTCGGTTGAACTGTTGTGTACGACGAGGGTCGGAGTGCAACGACAATCAGAATGACAATGGAAAAGACTGAGGGCCCGAAAGCTAGGCTTTATTCATCCAGAACTTTGACACTGAGAGCTGAAAACGGAAGAAAGTGATTTTGCAACAAATGATGGAACGTTTGAAAAACAGAGCAAATATATAACATGAACGTTCTGTGCATCCAAGTTCATCGTCTTCTCCATGGGCTGTCAGACTGGATTTGGATTAATTCAGGCTGGTTTTCCCTAACGGTTACGGTTTTTGAGCAACTTATCAGCGATAGAGGCTATTTCTGGCTTACCTGCACGGTCAGACTACCATTCATCGAGATTCTCCTCTAGGAGAACACTCAAATGAATCTGTATCACGTTCAGAGTGGGTTATATTCCGAGTCAGTAAGAATGTCCAGTCAGTCAGTTCGAGGAAACACACTATTATACAGTGGACATTTCAAAAAAGTAGTAATGCCACCTGCAACCCAGAGTTTCATGGATTCCGGAATGTGGCAAGCCGCTGATAACTGTTGTGGATTGTGTTTCAAAATAAATGCGTTTTGTTAAATCATTTGAAGCGCATTTCAGATTGAACCACACAGCACTAAAATAAAAGAACGATCATGTGGCTGTGGTACTTTTTTATGCATAGCCGCTATGCAATCCGAGGTAGGCATAATGGCTAGGATACTGACGGATTGCTTAAGCCTAGACAGGAACATTCGAATGTCTGTGATTATGCTTGAACCACGAAACTTCTTAACGATTCTATTACGCCTTAACCATTGGGCCGTCTCAAACTAGCTCATCAGTAGTAGCTGTAAAAACCACGCACATGTTGTACAATGTCCATAGCCACCATATTTTCATCCGAAATCAAATTCAAAATAACTAATAGCACGTGCGAATTTGAGTATCATCATGGCTCCTACAATTATACGTGGAGCCTCAAAGGTATCAAATGCCTCAAAAACCGCAAGGCGATCAGCCCGAACAAACTGAATCTAGTGCTGTTGAAAGACAGGGGCACGGTCGTACTAAATCAAGCCAGTGGTCCACCAAGTTAACGGAACCTGCTTAGAGGTATTTGTTTTTTCTAAGATGTTGCGACAATCGTCACAAGCTACGGAAAAGCGCTTTTCCGGCTGTTGATATTCCTGTGGCGTAATTGTTGCTAATGTAACATCTGGAATCGCCCTATGTATTATACTCATCGACTAAAAACAGTGCGTGATGTATTAATCTGTGAGGTTTAGCTCGGACGAAGACCATAATGGCCACATTTCCTTCTAACGACAACCGTCAAAGGAGGATCACACAAGTCGAAGATGAACTCTCCCGATTCTCTGTAGCATTACAGGTGGTTGACAGAAATGGTTTTCACATATGACGACCCCCATCGTGGAGGCCCCTTATGTGCATAGATCTGGGCAAGTTTTAGAGTATAGGGGACAACCTCCAGACCTCGCCAGTTCACATGGAATCCGACGCCGTTTTATACCAACGTTTCTGGTCATTTTTAAGCAGCACGTCTATCGAAAAAGCACTCGAGAGAAAACAAGCCTTGGAGGCACCAAACATTTTGTGCTCTGGTACTATCTTCGAGAAGCAATGCTCTAAGAACACAAGGGGAATAAATCTTATGGTCTCAGAAGCGGCTGATTTTCCCAACAGCCGGATATACTCTACCAAAAGCTAACGAAATCATTTTTGCTATTGACTAGTTATTTTTAACCACTGATTATTGCCAGCGGACTGTCACTTCAGGGAGCTTTTATCGCATGCACAGCTTATACACTAGCCAGCCACATCGGTGAACCGTTCGCGTGGACTTGACTTAACCGAAAATTCGACCTTGGATAGGAACATATTATCGTCCACCGAAACATTTTGCCATCAAAATACTGATGACAGTTGGTATAGCAGGGACGTAGGATGACGTAACGCACACCTGAGGTATTCAGTGCACGGGAAATGCAACACTTCATCTCATCATGATGAACACTGTCAAAATAACCAGATGCAAACAAAGTTTCGTTACCCTGGCGCAGGCCTGCTTGCCAAGGAGAAAACGGAACAACCCATGGATACATCATCATCATCATTGTCAGCTGTAAGAAACGCGTGCTTGTCGTACAATGGCTGTAACTGTAAGTCACCGGTCCATTGCACTCATCTGACTAAGAAACTGAGCCCTGTGGATAAAGAGGAATAGTCTTTATCGCCCATGTTTATAGAGTATCACCCACGTATGGTTAGAACGGAGTGCAACGAAAAGGCAAGATCGCCACAATGTGTTCGGTAGGGGGAAGTTTTACCCGAAGTAAGGTTCCCAGAACTTCAACTACTTCGATGGCGATGACTTCTCCTTCTGACTTCGGTGGGTTGTATATGCAAACGCATACCAGGGTGAGAACCTATCGTACTTATTTGTTGTTGGGCACATGTTTTCATACTGTGTAAGATCGCCGTTTCCGGTGTCACATGACCTTAGTGCGAGAGTGTAAATTTAGCCTTCGCACAAGATGAAGACTGCAAGGCAGAATGATGCAGAAAGAACTTTCTATGAATCGTTGGACTAAGGGTCGATTTCATCAGCCCTTATCGTTAGATTTAGCGTTTTATCGTCTAGCCCTCGCACATCACGGTACAACCCTCAGGGAACCATGGTTTCATGATTGCCGGTGACTCAATTCCGCGGCCCAATCCCCTATTAAGTAATGACCAGCAGTCCATATTTTCCAATGCAGATGACAGTAAATAATCTGATGGTTCTGTTTCACTGTTTGGTGTAACCTTCACACCTGCAAAGTATAGTACTACTGCAAGACTGGATGGGCTTGAACCCAAATACCATGCACGCGGATGGGCCAACTGAGGTACTAGACCAATTTGTCTACCTAGTTGGTTGTATCAGTCTGAGAGGTCTAGTCAAAGATGAAATTTCCATCCGGATTGGTAAGGCCAAGACAGCTTTTCTGAAGCTGCATCACCTGCGGTGCAGACGAGACGTAAGCTTATATGACAAGGAACCATTTTACAAGGCTGAGTTGCGCTCGATATTGTCATGTAATTCGAAAACACGACGGCTAAGCGTTAACATGAAAAAAATTTCAATGCTTGATCATTAATGTCTTCGGAGTATTACTTGAGTCTATTAGGAACATCAGGACAGAAATGACAAAAGGTTTCGAGTGGTTTGCGGAAGAAATAACTGCCAGTATTAGATGAATTGATCAAGCCTCGTAGTTCGCGCTAGTTCTGGTCACACGCTTTGTATGCCAGTTGACCAACACCCTCGAACAGCCCTTTTGCAAATTCACGTGCGGGGTGGGAAGAGCCAGTCGAGCAGTGACCTGGCAAAGAAGTATGAAAATCATCAACAGCAAATTCAGCTGCAATTTTTATTGTTGGGTGCCAAGAGGGAAACTTCGAGACGGGACGCATTAACGATCAGAAACATTGGTGGACATGGCCCAGTCGTACCTCCTGGCACAAATGTACCCACGCTGTTACTCTCAATGCATGGTTTCCCATTCAGGACCCCCAGCGAAAAGTTTACAGACAACCCGTGTGTTTACACGCCAGTTGTATCAGCTACCGCCTTTAATGCGTTGGCCCTGTCTCCCCAAATCGTCGGTAAACGAAAACATAAATATAACCACCACATAACATGTATGCCGTTTTACAGAGGATGATTACAGTAGTAGTGGCGACGATGATAGTGAACCAAACGCGGCAAATGCTGGATCACCGATGAAGAGATCAGTTCGGCAGCCATAGTTGTCCCTTGAACGACCGTTTCAGACAGACAACAATCACCAATAGAAAGCTATTACGATGTGGAAGCGACAGCAACTTATTTTCCAGGTGGTTTGATCATACACAGAGGTGAATAGAGCTTCAGTGTTTGAGGAAACATTTTTGAATGTCGTTATTTGTGATGGCTTAGTTAAACAGGTACTGTTTCAACGACACTGAGCGGCGAAAGTAGTTACGAGTCTTCATAAATTAACCTACCAACGTACCACAGGAAACCGCATAGGAATGGGGTCAAGTATTTGAAACAAAAAGGAGGAAGACCTCAAACACATTCGGTTTTTATCTACATGCCATGCTATGTGCAGCAAGTAAAGCGACTGATCGACTGGAAAGCCGAAGTGACATGGGATTATTTGTCACTGTCCTGACGTTGTCATAGGAAACATCCGCAACACCTGGAAAAAACGATGAACTCACCATCCAGAAAATGACCAGAACCCTTGATAGAAGGCGCTGGCTAGTGCACCTGGGGAGGTCGCACTGTGTTCGAAGGGATCTTTGAAGCTCCCGACGTTACCTGAATGTCATAAGTAGAAGGGCTCTCTCATCCTACCTCGAGCAAGATAAGCACTCCCGAATCCGACTATGAGTAGCAGAGCCAGGACCTTCCCAGCCGTGAATACCACAGATAGTTTCGTCGCCCAAGCAACACGATAGCAGTTGATGAAGCAAAGTGTTACTAAAGAAACAGGTTATGCGCAAATGCACCAAAAACGTACGGACGGCTATGAGTGCTACCAACTGAACTGCAGAAGCAGGAACATCACACGCAGGAAATAATGGCTTCAAGATATAATTGGCTAACACGAGAGAATTGATTGCACAAGAAACAGTGCCAATCACGAAAAAAGTGATCCAAAGTGCCATAAAACCCAAGAACGGGCCGAACGTTTCCAGGATGTATATATATTCACCACCAGATCGTGGTATCGTGACTCCAAGCTCTGCGTATACAATGGCCCCAACTGTGCTGAACAAGCCAGTAACGATCCACATAATAAAGGAAAGGCCAATCGAATTGGTAATGCGCAAAATCCCCACAGGAGATAGGAAAATTCCTGAACCAACAATTATGCCGACCACAATTCCAACACCCTTTAAGATGCCTATATCCTGCTTCAGGTGGACTTTTTCATTCGACTCGTCTTCTTTCCCTGAACTGAAAACCATGCTTCCAACACGCCGGCGAGCTACGCAGTGGGCGATGAACTAGTGCGAAAACCGAAACGGCCTATAGAACACTTTTCGCTGATTGGTGAAATGCCTAGGAACACGTGATAGACATCCGCTGCCTGAATGCATTTGCCAATGGAGAGATTTTTCACCTATGCCAAACACCTTATCAATATGCTGGGTCAGAAGTATCACACTAACTCAACGGGTGACATGTGCCTCTCACGGATGTTGGTAGAATCCTGAAATGCTGATATTTTTTAAGTTAAGAACGTAACATCACAGGTTGAAAGATGGATATAAAAGCAACGATGATGGGAGGCAGGCCAAAAAATATGGTTTTTCATCAACATTGAGGAAAATGAAGGTCTCAAATTAAGAACCTTTGATTTTATGCAAAGATGCGTGGTTGGAAAATTTTCTTAAGCCACAAAAACAATGCGCAAAAATGCATCTTGGTGGTTTTCTGCCACTTTCTCACTATACAGTCCACACAAAAATCATCCGCCCGAACTGTGGTTAAGCTCAGATAGGGTCTAATTACCTTAGAGTATCATACAGTAGTTAAACAGTACAAGAACCAATCGGAAGCGTAGTTGAGTAATTGGCGGGCTCTCCAGAAAAGAACAACTAATTTCAAAAGATAAGCAGACAGGGGTTAGGTGAACTCCTAACCGATGATCCACACTTTAACGTACTAAAACAAAATTCTAGGCCTGCCATAAACGAAGTTGAACATGGGTCTGCGACCTTGTAAGGTTTCTTGTTAACTGACCTATCCGCAATTCCAACCCCTGATTTCCAGTGCATAGCTCTGTGTACGAAAGTTTCCGACGTATTAGAGTCAAGGTTGCCGATCCACTTCAGGCATGTGCAATTTTGTCCAAAATCGCATTCCTAGAAAAATCGTGTTTCTGCTGGTACGTATGCTGAAATAACAGTGGTCAATACTTTGCATTGCCAATGTTTAGTTTCGTCCCAATTGGGCTTAGTTTTTTCATGCGCATTTCAATTTTGCAGAGCAATCGTCGGGGAAAAATTATCAGAAATTCATAATGACGCGATTTTTACCTCTCAAGGGCTTTCGGACCGCATCGAACGAATACACGGAGTATTTCTTCTTAGCTCTGCGCGAATCTGACAAGATAAACGTCTGCGCCCTTTCACGATATGGGCGACTGGACCTAGCAGCCACCATACCCGGCGGAGGGTTGAGGTTGGCAAGTTGACCGCATTCCCCAGTCATATGTAGTAAACAAAGAAACTTCTGCTAACTCTTTTTTGGTATTCAGAGGCAACCAAACCATGTCTCAGTACCCTGTTTCCAGCCTATTCAGAGGCACAAGATTGTGAGAATTTGCCTATATGAAGGCCTATAAACTAACCGATGACCGAAAGGGTGTTAAACACCTGAAACCTTCCACTGAAATGTCGGACGTCGCCAAAGATATTTGGTGGCTTATTAGCTTCGGATTTACAAAGCTCTCCGTTATATATCCGAATGACAGCTGTCCTTTCGTTTGTTTTGAAATATATACATATGAATATATGTGCATGGGGTAGCCCAAATATACTGTGTGAGGCTCACGGGCTAACTTTAACGTGCGAGGAGTTGCCACCTTCGTCCTAGGTGGGTCGCAACACCCCAAATCCACTTCACCATCTAAGCAGCACACACGTTCTCCCCTCTTGCCCTCCAGAATCATCATGTGCACAAAATGCAAATAGCTTATTGCTTCTTGATTACCACCAGGCACAGCGCTTAGTGATTGCTTCCGCCATGCACCATTCGTTTTCTGGAGCTGACAGCAGTGACCTGGTGACTAGCGACTAGTGACCCTTAATCTTAACTTCTCGCTAACTTGACGCCATAGATCTCAGTTAAGCTGCGCTCGTTATCAATTATCCGTGAATCTGTTGCCTGACCGCCTTTTAATTGTCTACTGTCAATGCTCACATCAACCCCCTGTTCTGTACAGTAGATACCCCATGTTAGGATTCTTCTGATGAGCTAAAAACAACCGCCTGCCTCAAGTAGCCCAACGACTAGCATCCCTAATGGCTACCTCGACGACACTGTTCTTACCTTCCCAAAACTTGGCACCTACTCTGGACTACCCAGTACTTCGTTTCTAGATCAGCGAACAAATCCAACTTGCCTGGGTCCATTTAGCCTACTGTCAGCACCTTTTAGATTTTTCCGGCTGACATCATTGTATCTGATGCCTCCTGGCACTCCACAGACGATACTGCTCTTATAATATTCCTTCCTCATTCCCCCTCTTCCCAAGCTTCAAACTTCCGCTGCCTTCACCCAAACGACCCGTACAACTGTTCTTCATTCATTCTGGCTGGTCACTGGTCTACACACACATGGTCCTCCAACGGGAGGGAAATTACCCGTGACCCTGCAGCAGTGAGTGTACTTAGTTTCAGATTATTATGCATTCTGAGACACAACTTGCTATTTGCCTCCATTTCGAATTGTTCTATCTCCACCTTCTATATCGCCTGTTGTGACACTGGCCATTTGCTCAACCTCCAAGGTCAGTCAAGGCCAGCAATGGTTTTCAGTCTTAGTTCGTGCCAACCGGCTTCATCTGTTAAATAGTCGGACCTCACGTTCATTGTTAGCTACAGGTTAGGAAATAAACCTATCATTATTATTTCAGCGTATATTGCCCAATGTCTAAGACATTGTCCCCTTTTCGCGCAAAACCCGCCAACAACAAATCCCCCAGTCATGCTTCATTCCGTCTGTAAACGCATGATGATGCCAGACGGTCTGCCACCCACAAGTCGGGAATAAACATTATTATTATTACCTATACGCTACCGCGGGAATCGCTGCCCAGTTCCGTTATGTAAACATATAATATCATGACCGCCTTAGGTGAGCTTATTCGCTGGAGAGGCGCTTAAGTGACAGCGTCAGAGAAGGCACATTGAAGTCATAGAAGCTTCACAAAAACACGGAAAACTTCGTCATTCCGTACCGCTAAGACGTCGTGAACTTCCCTGAAACGTGCGAGATTGAACGTTCTGATGAATAACCCAGACTAATTCACATGTGACGTTATATGGAAGACAGCACATTCGCGGGGTTAACCACCCGAGGAAGGCACGATCCTCGGTCGAATATATTTATGGTAAGCAGTTAAAATCGTTCCCCACACATATGCTCAAAACCTAAGTGGCTGGGACGCGTTGGGATGGATATCACTTCCATTCACCGTGTGTCGGACCCTTCTGGAGGAGGCTAGGATCTGTTTAATTTCCTACCCTCATTGCATGTTCCAAGGCGCAACCAACTTCCTGGTGTGCCCTGTTGACGTGTCCTGCGGCACAAGGTCTTCTTAGTTCACTAACCCGGCACCTGAAACACTCGCTTTAAAAGGCTTTTAATTTTTCACCACCTTATCTTGATGAGCCTTTCCATGGCTTTCTAACACTATTCTACAGCCATGCATCTGTCCCAACACCGGATCTCATTCACGAGGCGAGTTGGAGGTGTATTTCAATTACGACTGCAATATTTTAACCCAAAAACGTATTCCTGTGGACCCTCTTTGTCAACGGCTTCAACTTTTCTTTATATTGGCATGGCTTCCTTCGATTCCCACCTAGAGCAGACGACAACTACCTTACACTTAAAATAGTTTGTTGCTTGAGCAAGGCAACTGTGGTAAACCAAGTGCAAACAAAATGGTGCTTTATATTTGCCTGGTTCCACGAATCCATCATCCCTGCAACTCATTGGTGCAGACGGCATCCTTGCTCTTAGAATGCTTACAACCGGAGGCATGATGTAAAAACGCACTTTATGTAGTTGTTACTGCCTTTCACTCGTTCACCTCGGACCGTTGTTCACCGACCTCTGCTTAACTTATCTTTGGAGGTACATCTTGGGACCTCGATTGCCACATGGACTTCGAATACTAGCCAGGCGTTTCTCTGTTCACGGCAGTGTGTTTCAACTACCCGGAGGTGAACCCGATGGGCTCAGGGGCACTGAAAAACTGAGAGGTTCCACTTTGCCACAGCTGCTGCTTACCGCCTTTTAGCCTACTCCAGCTGATTTCTTCGGTACGAGCGATAGAACGAGTGTCTCTGGTGCAACCGCACGCCTATCCCGCGACGGATCTCCCACCACGTTACCTTCCAACAGCATACCCTTCATCACGAACCTGCGCAACGCACAGAAACATCAGTAAAAAATGGCTATAGACAGTTGTCTGGTTCGTCCTGTTTTTAGAACTCCCATGCAAAGCTGGCCCAACACGCTGCACCGATGTACATATGTATGTTCTTCATGCTTCCGCCGGCTTTGCTGATTCGATCTGTGCTCGGGTACTGAGATTAGCCATGAACTCTCGTATACGCGTTTACGTCACCAAATGTTTTAGCGGAGCTACTGAACGAGAAAGTACCAGTAAACTTCATGCCTGATCCTTGCGTCGGATCCCATAGCTGTTCTTTTTTATAAGCAAACGCAGATATCATCACTGATGCATCTTTTTCGCCTAAACTGTTCTTGAATTTTGGATGAACGTCCAATGTCTGCTGCACTCAACAACACATTACTACGGTATCCCATTTTCCATTGAAATTTTGTTTTGAATATTCGAGAACGTTTTATTGACCCATTTATATGTTGCCCCAGGAATCAAACGAGCGATAGTTATCTTTTTACAACGTGGAGCGGCAACGGTTGGCCAGCGTTAGCGAAACTTTGTTCCGATAGTTTTGGCGGTCATGGCTTTTTCCCCGGTAGCGGTCATTATATGAATGCGAAAGTCATGCTGTACGATATTATAGGATTGCACGCGGTAAAAAAGGCATCAGAGTTTCGGTTCTGTGTAATGTGGACCCATTAAAGGACTCTATTCTGTGTGACGACTCCTATCACTTTTTGGGCTTTATTGATCTCATCCCAATTCATCTTCCTCCCAAACTTCGACCTGCGGTAACACGTGCTATTTCTGTTCTCTTTGAAATTTATCCACTCAACCAGATC